AAATTTTCACCAGAAGCAGACCACCCCTAAAATGAAGAAAATATCCCTGCCCAGAAAAGTAGCCATTTTGAAAAACCACCCCTCTGCAAAACGGCCAAATAGTGCCATTTTTGGACCCGACTGCATCCAAATTGCTCAGCATTTGAAGCCCAGAGTCCGGGCCAGGGGTTCATCTCTGTCCCAAAGACGAATTCTACCACTCATATCACATTGTTTGTCACACGACTTGGAGATTTTCCAGTGAAATCTGGGGGAAAATAAACGACAAATTAGTCATTAAGTTTTTGAAACCACTCAGTTGCCAATAAGTAACATTTCAGACAGTCCCAACTTCGAGAGAGTGACGTTTCATATGAAAGCCTGATAGTCTAGATAGACTGTCATAAATTTCTTTCTAGGCCTATATAGGGTTAAAGTTAAGCATTATGAAGTACAACTTGCGAAACTTTCTGAAAAGTGCGACTCACATTTCCTTCTGTTCCTTCTTCCAAACTTGACGTTGATCTACGGTAATTCACTGCTGCGTACACCTCAACCATTATTCTTTCCAAATTTATCCATTTCAAGTGGAGAATTCAGTTTTTCTTCGAAATCTGACGAGTGAAGCACAAAAACGTCATACGGTTTTTGAAAAACTCCATTCGAAAGTACACGCAACGAAATTGGCAACGCTCGTTATTTACCCTCCTGAAAATACGCATACGCGGGACGCGTTTTGGACGCGATGTCCTATCCAGTCTATATAATGGAGATCAATGATCAACAATCACATATACACGAAGTCGCCAGTNAAATTTTCACCAGAAGCAGACCACCCCTAAAATGAAGAAAATATCCCTGCCCAGAAAAGTAGCCATTTTGAAAAACCATCTCTCTGCAAAACGGCCAAATAGTGCCATTTTTGGACCCGACTGCTTCCAAATTGCTCAGCATTTGAAGCCCAGAGTCCGGGCCAGGGGTTCAGTGCCATATTTCTCCAATTCCTCAATTTCATGCCTCTCAGGACTCTCTAATATAAAATATTTTGAGTGTATAACTTTTATTAATGAGCTCGGCGGACATATTTAGGGCCTTTTTGCGAGGGTGCACCCTTGTGCACAAAACGCGCCGCCGAACAATGGCAGCGCTTCAGGAGGGTAATGTGATGCTGTATGCTGTGCATTTCTGGTGAACATAACCTTTTTCTCATGGGATGATGGCTAGGCCCTCGGCCTCCCTCCCGAAAACAAGCCCAAAATAAAATTGAGTTCACAATCTGACTTAAAGATTAACATTTAACAACTACTTCCGGCATAAAAAGTTAATTTTAACTGAGAACGAATAATTTTGTTATGCAGACAAACTTTCTTTTATTGCGTTAACTTTGAATTCCCTTGCTTGTAACTTCATTCAACAGAAACTTCAGCACTCTGCTTCTCACTTTGGTTTCATCTCTGTCCCAAAGACGAATTCTACCACTCATATCACATCGTTTGTCACACGACTTGGAGATTTCCAGTGAAATCTGGGGGAAAATAAACGACAAATTAGTCATTAAGTTTTTGAAACCACTCAGTTGCCAATAAGTAACATTTCAGACAGTCCCAACTTCGAGAGAGTGACGTTTCATATGAAAGCCTGATAGTTTAGATAGACTGTCATAAATTTCTTTCTAGGCCTATATAGGGCTAAAGTTAAGCATTATAAAGTACAAGTTGCGAAACTTTCTGAAAAGTGCGACTCACATTTCCTTCTGTTCCTTCTTCCAAACTTGACGTTGATCTACGGTAATTCACTGCTGCGTACACCTCAACCATTATTCTTTCCAAATTTA